ATAAGGAGACTAAAGCTCAGTGAAGAGAAGTGACTTGTCCAGAGTCCCACAGCTAAAACGATGAGCTAACCCTGAAACCAAAAATCTTACCTGACTCTGGGACATAAGCTGCTTTCCTAGGGAAGAGTAATTCATTCTTTTCAGCTTCGTAAGACTCCATCTTCACAAGCCTTGTCGGGTGTGGTGGTCCACGCCTTTAATCCCAGCATTCAGGAGGCAGAGGCAGGCGGATCTCTGTGAGTTCGAGGCCAGCCTGGTCTACATAGCAAGCTCCAGGTCACCTGGGGCTACAGGGAGACCCTGTCTCAAAAAAACAAAAAAAAAAAAAAAAAAAAAGCCTTTTGAGTTGAGGGCTCTGGGGACTACTCCTGCCTTGATCTGGGACAGAAATGAATGAAAGCTTACTGGGAATTCTGGGCTTGCCAGGCAGACTTGGAACACATCAGAAGTTTCCTGAAAGTTGTCTGAAATGCCAAAGAAACCACTAGATCCTTTTGTTTTGTTTTGTTTTGTTTTGTTTTGTTTTGTTTTGTTTGAGACAGGGTTTCTCTGTAGGCCCAGCTGGACTAGAACTCACTATGTAGACAAGGCTGGCTTCAGTCTCACAGAGATCCACCTGCCTCTGCTAGGATCAAAGGCATGCGCCACTCCTGGCCCACTAGATCCTTTAGAGGACATCATCCCAATAGTCACAGGAACCAGAAATAAATCCTTTAAAAAGCATCATCCCATGATTCACAGGAACCAGAAACTCAACTCACATGTCAGTGTGTCCACTTACTCTACTTCCACAAGTGGGAACCACCCCCCCCAATCCAGAAGCCACCCCTTCAACCTTAACTGGCCAGTGAAGACAGCTGTCACCTGGTTCTTGTATTCTTGGGAAAGCATTTGCCTTCCTGATGAAGAAACAAGATAAAATGACCAGGTCTAAAACTTGGTTGTTTGTTTTGTTGTTGTTTTTTTGAGACAGGGTCTCCCTATAGCCCCAGCTGGCCTGAAACTCCCTATGTAGACCAGGCTGGCCTCAAACTCAGAGAGATCTGCCTGCCTCTGCCTCCCAAGTGCTGGGGTTAAAGGTATGCTCTACCACGCCCAGCCTAAAAATTGTATTTTTAAATCGCTTATGACTTACCTCCATGAATTCTCTAGACTATCTTTCAGAATCCCCACCCACCAAATGTGACCACTCCCCCTGCCCATAACAGCTGGTATCCCACAAACAATGCAAATGTCAAGCGAGAAAAGGAAAGAGCGCTACAAGGAAAACCTTCCCCTAGTCAGGATATGATCTGTGGTTGTTTCATCCAGGAAGCTCATCTCAAACCAGGAATGGTGGTACAGGCCTGTAATTGAAGAACTTGGGAGGTGGAAACAGCAAAATCTGGAGTTTAAGGTCATCTTTGGCTGTGTGGTAAGTTCCAGCGTAGCCTGGACTACATGAGAGACCCAAGTGGGAGTGGGGGAGGAAGGAAAGAAGGGAGGGAGGGACGGAGGGAGGGAGGAAGTGGGGAGGGGAGAGGGGAGGCAGCATAAACACACACCATGAGCCCTGGAAATGTTCCACATGGTCCTGGAAGCTGCCAACAGCTCCCCACAGCCCAGTGACATGGGCAGCATCAGTACCACGGCTCTAGGAGTCTACTTCCAAAAGACTGCAAAGCTCTAAGATTAAACAGCAGCAATAAAAACAACAAGCCCAGGATGCATGCAGTCTCGGAACACAATTCATCAGCAGAAGACTGTGCTAAGGTCTTGTGCCCTGCATCCCTCGGCCCCCAGCTAATCCCTATCTGTCTGGGTCACCAGAGCCGTGCATAAATACACCGTCTTTAACACAGACCCTAACATGTCCACACTGACCCACAGCACATCAGCGTGTCCAGGTACCCTTTCCTGAAGATGGCATAAGAGGGACATTATGCTACAGTAGCCTCAGCTCTGAGGACACACTCAGCAAATAACGCACAGGGCACAGCCCATAGAACTTGGCGCCAGCAGCGTCAACAAAAGAGGCCTGAGGCACTGAGGGGTGGGCCCTGTAGCATTCCCAGGACCAGCTGCTGACAGCTGTTCGGCCCAAATCCTTCTAGACTCAACACATCCTTACCAAGAAGGCTGCCAACCTGTCATAGTGTCCCTGGTCCCCACCTTGCTAGCAAGCATGCTAGGGAAACCCCATGCCACTCCACTGTCACTTAGCTGCAATGGGGCTGCGTTCCGTCCTTGTCATCCCCCAAGGAGGGAAGCTCCATTAGCTGGCAGGGTCATGTCAGCAGCCTGGCTTGGGGTGAGACATTGTCCCCTGTCTCCCAACACCCCAGTCAGGACAGCTGCTACAAGTGTGAAGACAAAGGCCTCTATATTCTTTTTTATTGTTTGAGACAATCTCATGTAGCCCAGGCTAGCCTCCACCTCCCTATACCCAGAATGAGCTTGAACCTCTGATGTTCCTGCCTCTATCTCCTGAGTTTTGGGATTACAGGTGTATGATATCACCCCCCAGTTTTATGTGGTCCTGGGATCAAACCCAGGGTTTCCTTCATGCTAGGCAAGCACTCTTATCAACCAAGCTATATCTCTAGCCCCAAAGACCTCCAGATTCTTTCCCAGGGAGGGAGAGAGCATCGTCTCTCAGCAGCACCCAAAGTAGGTATCTCACACACACACCTACTGACCACCTAACGGGGATTCCATATGCACCCCCAAAGTGCTCATTCGACCACATAAACACAAAGAAACCCGTACAGCATGCTCCTCCAGCACCATCTTTGGAGACTAAGAAGCTGCAGATTCTACGGGCATCTGTATTGCAACAGAAGCAACTTCTGGCCTTGAGAGGGTTAACTGTGGGCTCTTGGCTCCATGGCTCTGTTCCAAAGGGTCTCCGTTAACACCAAAGGTCTCCTGCTATCTCACTCTCTGTAATAGATTTTTCCCATTGACGGCTCAGTTTATTGACTATCATTTCCTTTGCTGCAGGGGAGCTATTTTCTGGGTCACTGATCCAACCAACTTAAAAAGGGCTGCATTGATTGGGTTTTATTGGTGACTTGCCCGGAGAAGGGCTGGCTTGCTTCTACCTGCTAACAGCTCCTTTGTTTCCCATCTCAGCCTCCCCCCACTCTGTTGACTTATGGTGGGGACAAAGTTGAACCACTTAGGTAGTGGCCTTTATGGAGTGATGGGGGACTTCTGGCTGCCTCAAGCTCTCTGTAGCACCGGGGTAAAGTCCATTAAAAGAAAAGAAAACAAGGGGAATGGATGCCTATAGAGCTTCAGTAATGATGGACAGAAAGCCCAAAAGTCACTCATTTGTTTAATAAGCATTTATGGAGCACTTACTATTCGGGATTGTCATACATAAAACTTTAATGACATTTACAGGTGACAAAACTTGAATGTATCATCTGCTTGATGCTCACAACTCTGAGGGCTAAACAAGACAATTATTATCACTTCTTCATGGATGAGAGATAAAAAGTTAAGGAAGAAGGATACTCAAAATCACACAGCTCAAGAAAAACATATTAAGTGGGAAACTCAAAAACTTAAACCTGGCTATTCGTCGTTCTGGACTGAGGAGCTCAAGGGAATAACAACAGGTATGAGGCCGAATTTACATCCAATCTAAGATGATGGTTATTTGTGTGTGTGCAGGGCATGTGTCACTAATAAGAACAAGGAAAGTCCAGAAAAACCATAGAGATCCCAGAGGTAACTAGACCAACCCCCTCCTCCTTACAAGTGGGAAAAAAATGAGTTTCAGAAATACAAAATAATGAGCTAAACCAGCTCAGTGGTATAGTGCCTGCCTAGCAAGCATAAGACCTTGGGTTCAATCCCCTGCAAAGAAAGAGAGAGGGAAGGAGGAGAAGGAAAAGGAAAGAAGGAAAGAGAGAGAGAGAGAGAGAAGGGAGGGGGAGTTGGAGATGTAGCTCAGTTGGTAAAATGCTTGCTTGCCTAGCATGCATGAAACCCTGGTTTCCATCCTCAGCACTGCATAAACCAAGTGTATGCCTGGAATCCCAGCAGTTGGCAGGGAAGGTAGAGGTAGGAGGGTTAGAAGTTCAAGGTGGGGACTGGAGGGATGGCTCAGTGGTTAAAAGCACTGACTGCTCTTGCAGAGGACCTAGGTTCAGTTCCCCAAACCCACATGGCAGCTAACAACCATCTGTAACTGCAATTCCAGGGGATCTGATGCTCTCTTCTGGCTTCTGAGGGCATTGCACACACATGCATGTTTACATGCATGCAGGCAAAACACTCATACACATAAAATAAAAATAAATAAAATAAAAAAAAATTTCAAAGAAGTTCAAGGTCATCGTTGGCTGCATAAAGAATTTGAGGCTAGCTTGGGATTGGACCCTGTCAAAAGGAAGGGAGGAGGGGAAGGAGAGAGGGAGGAAAGAAGAGAGAGGGGGAGGAGGGGGAGGGGAGGAGGAGGAGGAGGAGGAGGAGGAGGAGGAGGAGGAGGAGGAGGAGGAGGGGAGGAAAAATACTGTACCCAAGGTCAAATGAATTCATATACTATGCATTCATTCATTAGCATGCTAGGTACTTGTAAGCACTCTTACCAGAGCTTTAGTGGGGAGCAACAGCGGAAAAGCCAGTTACCTGCAGGAACACTCATCCATTCAGATAACATCTGTCCCAGATGCTTTGATCCTTTTCTAATCTGGGTCACTGATCAGACGCTTTTTCCTCCCTCACCCTCCCACCCCAGCCTGTTAGCACATGATGGGCAGTCCATCTCCAGCCAGGACCTCAGAAGCATCAAGCCCTGGTACCGGCATTGGAATGCCCTGCAGTTTCACTGACCCCCCCCCCCAAATTCTGTGCTATTTGAAACACAGGGAGCTCTTCTCTAAAAGGACAGCCTCAGCTACTCAGTCCTCTGGACGCACAGGAATAAGGTGTGCAGAACAGGAATCAGCTGCTAGCCTACAGATCAGCCATATGAGTTAGGGGTGGCTTACTTTTGTGAGGATAAATACCTGCCTGGTGATCTCAGTAGGAGAGGGGCGAGATGGTAAGGGGCTATGCATATCTGTGTGCCTGCATTTGAAGCCTGTGCAGTTCATCCTGGCTGTTCCATTTACAGGCTCATTTATTCATTCAGCAAGCTTCTGTTGGCCCAGCTTTTCCTCTGTGGTGAGCATCGCCCCGGGATCCAGTGAGTCAGAGATGAACAAGACACAGTCTCTGCCCAGGAGAACCTTGTGGCTGTATGTGGGAGAGAATCACACATATATAGAGAATTTCAGTTCCATGCAGTGAGCACCACCATCGAGATAGAGGGGAAGAGGAGAGGTCAACAAAGGCCAGGGGATGGGAAAAAGGCAGAGAGAAGGATGGGAAAGTAGCTCATAAACCCAAAGCCTGTACTGAGGCTCACAGACAAAAGGGTCAATGGTGAGAGAAACGTGTAGGGGCACACCAGTTCTCTGAACTAAATCAGTCAAGTTCAAGGGAGAGAGGGAGGAGCCCACAGAGCTAGGCAGGAGCCGGGTGGTAGAGGGCAGGATTTAGGAAGTTCAGGCAGCAAGGGTCTAAGCCTGGGGTGGAAGCCTGGAAACACTTTCTCAAATCTGCCCTGGAAGACCAGCTCTTTTGCATGGGCGGATCCCAGAGCCAGACCCAAGTGTGGGATGCCAGTGGTGTGTGAGAGAGACATTCTGTCCCATGGATGTTGACATCACTGCCTTCCAACCTTTATCCCTCCCTCACCCCATCAGCCCCCTGTAATGCAAAATCTGTGTTTCACTCAGTCTGAATGAGAGAATTAAATCATCCAGATTAAATAAATTAAATGAATGTCTTCTCCTGAGCAGGAAGCTTGGCACATTTCAGAGAGAATTCCAGCAAACCCTCCAGAAACATAGACGGCCTGAGAGCAACCCAAATGAACAGGCTAAAAGGGTCGGCCAGTTACCAGAACCCATTTCCCTGTGTTCATCCAAGCAGCCAAGGGACATGCATTGCACAGACACGGGAAGGCTGCTCAGCAGAGCAGCAGGGGTCAGGCTCTCACACCAGAAAAAAAAAAAACCCTGACCTCTACACACCACACTCAGCCTGTGAGCCCACATAGGTTCCTGAAAATCCCAAATTCAAATTCCAAAAGGAGAGAGGTTTGTGGGTCCTGTTTTAAGGTGGTTTTTCCACACACATATGCGCGCACTCACACACACAAAACCATATCCACTTTTGCATACATACACATTTTACAATACATCATACATACATCACAGTGCTACACAAGTACACACATTCATCCACTCACACATATACACTCATTGATTGACACAATCATGCATCTCACAACACACATACACTTCCTCAAAAATGCACCTAGACTCACTGGGCTAGGGATTAGTGATTAGTGATACAGTGCCTGCTAGTGTCCAAGGCCCTGTGTTCCATCTCCAGCACCACACACACACACACACACACACACACACACACACACACATACATTTCTTTTCTTAGTCTTTCAGGTACTGGGATTACATATGTACACCAAGATAACCTATTTAAAAGTCCTCTCTTGGGGCTGAAGAGATGGCTCAGCAGTTAAGAACATTGGCTGCTCTTGCAGAGGACCCAGATTCGATTTCCAGCACCCTGTTACTCCAGTTCCAGGAGATCTGATGCCCTCTTCTGACCTCCTAGGGCATTGCAGGACACAGGTGCATTTACATACATGCAGGTAATACACTCACACACATAAAAAAATAATAAATAAAATATTTTTATAAAACATAAATTAACATGTCCTTTTCTAGCCTTGTGAAGGAAGGGGAACAGAGCTTGAGGCGACATGATTTCTTCCTTTCTGTTTCTAAAACTAGAGTCACTAAAAATTCACTGTTTGCTCAAAATGCCGGTAGAAATATTTTTATTTTGTTTTACAGTGCTGGGGTTGAACCCAAGGCTTTATGCACACTCAGCAAGCACTCTATCAAGAAGCCAAATCTGAAGCAGGTGAATCTCTATAAGTTCTAGGCCAATCTTGTCTACATAACAAATTCCAGACCATCCAGGGATTCGTAGTGAGACTTTGTCTCAAAAACAAATAAACAAGCAAAATCCAGGAGCTATACCACCAGCCCCTGGAACTATTTGGGGGAATACAGGGACATCACGGTGTGCATGTGGAGGTCAGAGGACAACTATCAGGAGTTGGTTCCGTCCTTCCACTATGTGGGTTCCAGAGATGAAAATGCAGTCATCAGACTTGGCGGCAAGCACCCTCACCCACTGAGCCATCTCACTGCTTGCCCCAAGAGCTGTTTTTAAGGTGTAGCTTGCTAGAAAAAAATATCTGCCCAGACATGTGCCTCAGTCAGATCCAAAGCCTCTTCACAAACAATATTCACAGCTCAGGATGCAGAATGTTTCTTTAACCCCCAGAAGCTCCCAAATGCCACCTGGCTTCCAGCAGCATCCATTGACTTTGTCTGATTTTGAACTTTATATAAATGGAATCAAAAGTTCACTCTGACATACTGTAATAAAATCCACATCAAGAAAGATATCACATTGGGGGCTAGGGATGTAGCTCAGTTGGTAGAGTACTTGTCTAGCATGCACAAAGCCCCGGGTTCCATCCCTAGCACTGCATAAACGGGGTGTGACGGCACATACCTCTAATCCCAGTGTTTGAGAGACAGAGGTAGGAGGATCAGAAGTTCAGGACATCCTTGGCTATATAGTTAATTTGAGGCCAGCCTGGGCTACCTGACACCCTGTCTCCAAAAAAACAGTATATCACACAGGAAACAAAGTTATAGACCAAGGATGAGAAAAGTTTTGGGGGTTGTTTTGTTTTGGGAAGGATTGGATTTGGGTTTTATTTTTTTAAGATAGAATCTCACTATGTAGCCCTAGCTGGCCTGGAACTTGCGACATAGACCAGGCTGGCTTCAAACTCACAGAGATCCTCCTCCCTCTGCCTCCCCAGTTCTGAGACTAAAGGCAGGTGTCACCAAGCTCTATGGGGTTTTTTGCGGGGGTCCCCAAGCTTTTTGGGGTTTTTTTTTTTTTTTAATTTTTTTTTTTTTTTTTTTTTTGTATTTTTGAGACGGTCTCCCTGTAGCCCCAGCTAGCCTGGAACTCACTATGTAAACCAGGCTGGCCTTGAACTCACAGAGATCTGCCTGCCTCTGCCTCCTGAGTGCTGGGACTAAAAGTGTGTGCCACCACATCAGGCAGTTTTCTTTCATTTTTATTGCATGTGTATTAGTAGTGTTTTGCCTGCCCGACTATAAGAGCGTCCTGTGAATGCAAAGCCCAGGGAGACCAGAAGAGGAACAGTTGTTAGCTACCATGTGGGTGCTGGGAACCAGAATGGGGTCCTCTGCAAGAGCAGCGGGTACTCAGCCACTGAGCCACCTCTCCAGCCCCAGTTTTTTTAATGTAATATTTTTATTAAATTTTTATAATTTCATACATTTCATTCATGAATATAATGTATTTTTTAACATTTGTATGTAAGTACACATGTGTCATGCAATGCCCTTGGAGGACAAAAGAGGGCATCAGATCCCCTGGAACTGGAGTTACAGATCGTTATTGGTCACCATGTGGGTGCTAGGATTCAAACCCAGGTCTTCTGCAAGAGCAGCCAGTGATCTTAACCACTGAGCCATCTCTCTAGCCCAACATATAATGTACTTTAATCATACTTACCCCCACTCCTCTTCCTAACTCCACCCAGATAGACACCCTGACCCCTGACCCCAAGAAAGGGTTTTGAAGAGTAACAATTCACTCTACTGATCTAAGGAGCTCTCTGATCCATCTGAAGAAACTGTCCAGAGTGAAGCCAAACTTGTTGCTGCAAGGTGTGGGCTTGGGGATGCCATAGACAATCAGCTCCCTACACACACACACACACACACACACACAGAGAGAGAGAGAGAGAGAGAGTACATTTGTTCAAAGTGCTTAATTCCCACTCAGGAGATCTAGGTGGGAGTGTGATCTCCCAACTGACCCTGGGTAAACCACCTCATCCCTTGCCCACGTTTCATCTCCACAGTAAAGATAGCGGAGCTCCCCTGAATGCTTGCTTCTAGGAATCATACTACTCCTCTCTGACCACAGCTCAGCAAACTCTGGTCTTCACCTGTATGCTCACAGCCTGCATGCTAAGAATCATTCCTACACTTTCAAATGGTTTGGGGAAAAAAAAACAAGAGAATAATACTTCAGGATGCACAAAAAATAAATGAAATTCTAATGTCAGGGTCCATAAATACAGCTTTATTGGAACACAGTCACACTCATTCATCTGCGTCTGTGGCCGCTTATGGCCGAGCTGTGACAGAGACCTCATGACTCAAAGCCTAAAACACTTGCTTTCCGGCCCTTTCAGAGAAAGTTTATCCAGCCTCGCTCTAAATGGTACACTCATCTCTCTGCCCTAGGCACTCTTTTGTAATCTTCTACCTCCTCACTGAGATGCAGAGAGGGTTGCCTAAACTGCCAGGGGGTGAGCTCCTCAGGCTGGCTCCTTGATGTTCACTCTGGTTCTGCTCCCCGACACGAGGCTCTAAGGCAATGGGCAAGGTGTGGACTCACCTCCCAGCAGATATCAGTAACTGAACTCAGTGCAAACTAGATGCCCCAGCTCTGCCCTATACCACCACACCCAGCCCAAAGGTCTACTGGTATAATTAGCAATAATTAGCAAGCGATTTATTTCCTTTTTTTCTTTTCTCACCATTCCTCTCTTTTTAATTAATAAATTAAATATTTTTGAAACAAGGTCTCACAATAGTCGTGGCTGACCTAGAATTCTCCATGTAAACCAGGCTGGCCTCAAACACACAGACATCCCACCTGCCTCTCCCTCCTCAGTGCTGGGATTGCAGGTGTGTGTTACCATGCCTGACTTTCTTTCTTTCTTAAATAAATTTATTTATTTTTATTTTTTGTTTTATGTGTATGAATGTATTGCCTGCATGTGTGTACGTGTACCCGTGTTGTGCAGTGCCCACGGAGAAAAGAAGAGGACGTCGGATCCCCTGGAATCGGAGTTATAGACGATTGTTAGCCGTCTGTACTTCCCAAATTCTGGAGATTATAGCATGTGTCACCATGCCTAAGTTTGAATTTGTTCTAGAACTTCATCTACATGACATATAAAGGGCTCCTGATTCAGGTCTTGCCTCTTTCTCTCAGCCTGTCAGGGAGATTCCTCTATGTGGTGGTGGGTA